CTCTCTCTCTCTCTCTCTCTCTCTCTATATATATATATATATATATATATAGGAGCCTAATCAAATGAGAACTAATTAGTTTGTRGTAACCGTGAGATCCAATCTCAACCACAAATCAATAGATAAATTAGAAAATTTATAATTTTGATAATTTTTAATTAAAATTTTAATGTAAGGACATTTTAAGTATTTTCTCTCCTCTCTCCTATCTCCTCTCTTCTCTCTCCGTCCCCGGCTTCCGGCCACCGTCCTCCGATGATACCACAGTGGTATCACAATGCATGTTATATGTGATTGGGTATCACACTGTGGTTGTTTGTGCGGTTCGATCGGATATGTAACACAGTGGTATCACAATGCATCTTTTATGTGCTTGAGTATCACACTGTGGTATCACCGGAGGACGGTGGTCGAAAGACGGGGACAGAGAGAGGATAAAATACCTAAAATGTCCTTGCATTAAAATTTTAATTAAAAATTACAAAATTATAAATTTCCTAATTTATCTATTGATTTGTGGTTGAGATTGGATCTCACGGTTACCACAAACTAGGCAGTTCTCCCTTGAATGAGCCTATATGTATATATATATATATATAAAGAGAGAGAGAGAGAGAGAGAGAGAGAGAGAGATGAGCATTCAAATAAAAACCACTCAATTTGTAAAAACCGTAAAAACCTCATTCAACAAATCATAATTTTTTATTTTGTTCATTTTTTTGTAATTATGAAAGGTTGATTAACCATTTTTTATTGTGGAGAGTGTTAATCATGGATATTATCATCTTCATTATTTTAATTTTAGAGAAATACATGAAACAGTTTCATTAAAATTTCATTAAATATTATATGAAACAATTTCATAACCATATATGAAACAAATTCATCAAAAAATGTATTATATGAAACAATTTCACAAGATTAAACATTGAAATCGACGTATGAAAGTGGTTTGTACGGTTTTTACAAGTGAGAGTGGTTTTCATTTGATCGCTCATCTCTCTCTCTCTCTCTGTATATATATATATATATATATATATATATATGGTGGTAGATTGCAAACCGCTTATTTCATGTAAACTATAGAAACCACCATCAACCAATAGAATAATTTCATGTTTTTCTCTTTATTTTTATTGAATAAGGGTATAAATGTCATTTCATTTTGAAATGGTTAATCTTGGTAATGTTTTAATTGTTTTTGAATATAGAATATTAAATATAGTAATTGTTTTAAAGGAAGCTGTAAATCAATTTATTTTATTATATAATTATTATCAAAGTCATTACTTATTGTTTATACACGCTTTCTATTTTACTTAGCCTACTTCTTTATCATTAAATCAATTAGGCAGGGGAAGACACTGTGTACTAATTTTCTCTTCTTTCTTCACATTAATATTTTATATTCTTTTATTAATTTAAAAATACTACATCAATTACAAAGTCTATTTGTAATTGTTTATTTCTTATGAAACTATTTATTTTATTGTCATGATAACAAAAGAATCGGTATTTTTTTTTTCAATTCACAAGTAGTTACTGATTTATTAATAATATAATTGTGATATTTTCAGATTTTGAGTATATTGTTTTGTTTTCATTCGTAAAACAAATTTCATTAATGAAATCATGTTATACAGTTTTCAAAATGTTTCAAAAATGAAACTAATTTCATTTTGGTAAGGAACCATGAAACTAGTTTCATAAATGAAATAATAGTATTCTGGTCGTGAAATGTTTTATTGACTGAACCATATTTGTTTTCATTAATAAACTAATTTCATCTTGGCTTATAAACCATGAAACCGATTTCATTTTGGTTAGGAAACATAAAAGAAATTTAAAAATGAATGAAATATTATTATTCAGTTCTTGAAGTGTTCCATTGACTGAACAATATTTAATTTCATATGTAAAACCGAGTTCATCTTGGTTAGAAACCACGAAACCGATTCCATTTTGGTTAGGAAACATTTCAACAAATTTCACTGCTGAAACAATGTCATTTAGTTTTTCGAATTGTGGAGTCCATGAAACCAATTTCAATGATGAAACGAATTTCATTAACAAAAACATGTTATTCAGATTTTTGAAAATGTTCTATTGACTGAACCATATTTGGCTCAAATTTCATTATGCAGACGAATAATGAAACCAATTTCACTAATGAAAAAATGAGATACAATTTCAAAAATGTTTTTATTGATGAAACCAATTTCACTAACGAAAAAAATGAGATACAATTTCCAAAATGTTATTATTGATGAAACCAATTTGGAAAAACGAGACTGAACAATGGTTTGTCAATTTTGCCATTTCTTGATTAAATATTAAACTTTTTTTTACTTTTCTAATATAACACATTTTAATCATGACCAATGATCAAGAAAATGGATGGATGAGATTGGTTGGTAAGGTTTGCACAAAAGAGGGTGGTTTGCATTTTATCGCTCTCTCTCTCTCTCTCTCTCTCTCTATATATATATATATATATATATATTATAGTAACAATCAAAATAAGATGTTAATATATCTTTCTAGCCAACTTTTCTTTTATAAAAGTCTTATCTTTAAAAAAATTTTTGACTTGAAACAAATCTATATCTTAATATGCACATCTATATATGCATATTAATACAAATATTATATTTATATATATTATAGACAATCAAAGAATATCAAAGTTTCAAAAAATTTCATTTTAAAGATTCGAATCAACATTTTTAAAATAGAAACGAAATAATGCGTTGAGGCGTAACAGTTGACTGGAAGAAGGTATCAACAACAACTGGTTTTATTACGGGAAGATATTCCCTTCATTCTTCCTCTATGTTGTTTACGGAATCTGGTTCTTGGATTACTCCAAATTGCCATTTTATTTGTACATAATATAATATTAGTTGATTTTTCAAATGAAATAGGCCAGTAAGCTCGAAACGAGTAAGTGGGAGCCTGCTGGCAAAGAGAATGTTAATGAAATGACTAATACCAAACTTAAAGGGGCTTATGTTGTTGATCAATTTCTCTGAAACAAGTATATAATTTAAGACTTGATTTTATTAAACAATATTGGTACCATTTTGCTTCAACTTGTCACTTTACGTGCCAGAATTTTTATGAATTTGATGGTAATATCAAATGGAGTAAACCATAAATTTGGTTCATGTGGTTTGTCGATTTTTTATTATAACATTTTTCATCCTTATATTTTGTTAGCTCCTTTTAACGGTTGTTAAAAAATTCATTAATAAAAGACATTTTTGTCCTTAATATCAATCTTTTTGTCTTTTACTTAAATGTTTACTGAATTTTAACCACTGTTAGAGTAAGAGATTAAAATTATGATAACTATCATCCTGTAATTTAAAAATGTAAGAACGAAAAGTGTTATTTTCGACAAATTTGTAGTTTAGAGACCAAATTTGTGATGATATAAAATAATATTTTCATAAAAAAATTGGAACCATCCTATAGCTATTGGATGAATTTTGTAAATTGATTTAATATTTTCTGTTCAGAATCCAACCCTAAATTACTAATACATACAAAAGATTTCAATTTTTAAAACATTTATGTTTGATCTAGGGATGGCAAAAAATGACTCAACCCGCTAACTCAATCTGAACCCAACTCAAATTAACAGGTTGAGTTGAAAATTTTAATTCATTTAAATAAATGAGTCAACCCGTCTAACCCATTTAAATAAATGGGTTGGGTTGAATTTTTCGACTTGATTTCAAACTAGTTATATCCTCTTTTCAACCTGTTTCCAACCCATTTAAAATATTATATAATTTTATTTTATTCTTAATATTTATCTAGTATTCTAATTTTTAATTTTGTTTAATTTTTAATTAAAAATCCTACCATCATGAGATGAAAGTTCAAATTCCAATCGCCTCCATTACTTTTAATCATCATGAAACCTTAAGAAAACCATTTAGTCCATTACTCCATTATTGCCTCCAAACTTTGGGATTGATGAAAGTAGAAGTCGAGTTACTTAGAATTTAAAATTTTCTAAATTATTTTGAACAATATATTTGTTGTGGTCGTATTTAATTCAAATTTTAAACAATTTGTTTGTATTTGTGTTTTATTTAAAAAAGTTAAAATAGTCTAGTCTTTTTTTTTTATTTAAAATTTTAAAATTAAATAGGTCAACTCAGGTTCAACCCATTTATTTAACATGTTGGGTTAAGAAAATTGTAAACAAGTCAACCCGTTGTCAAACCATTTAGGTAACATGTTAGGTTGGGTTGAAAAATCTCAACCCATTTAATTAAACGGGTTAAGTTGGGTTGAAATTTTCAACCTGTTTAATAAACGGGTTGAACCCAACCTGACCCATTACCACCCATTTGACCCTTCTTTAAACGTTTTCTTTAAATATTTAGAAAAAAAGTTTTTGGAAACCTCTACTACTCTTTACAATTAAATAAACAACAAAATTATTTGAGATTTCTGGAAACTTTATCTCACGATTAATCTATTTCCAAAAACAAAAATATCATATAAAAACAGTTCAATTACATTTCATGATTACATTTTTTAATATAAGTGAATAGATTCTTAACGTATTGATTCAAGTTTCATCACTCTTCCGTCATCATTACCATTACCATTATCATTACCAATCTATAGTTATTGACCGATGCAACGTTTTTCTCATAATGTCAAACAATTTATTATACCATCATAAAAAATATAACGTCGCATATTTATTATTTAGCCAAAGACACTTGTCATGAACACACAACGACATGTTTTTACCGCAATCTAAAAATCGATTTGTAACAAAATATTTACTAAAACGTTAAATTATTATGCATTAAAAATAATGGTTTGGATATATTTTTTTTGTTAATTTAGATATCCAACCTGTTATACAAGCCGACTAATTATAGAACGACCATCTGCTTTATAGATAACCCATAATCATGGTTTAGATATTTTAGGTATTGGAAAAGAGAGAGGGAGAGGGAGAGGGAGAGAGAGAGAGTGTTATATTTATCATTTTTAAATATATTTTCGTCTCCCACAACCCTCACCCTCCTTCTTCACTGGTCCATCCAGACTCTGCCCATGCGCCCTTCTGGTCACACCCAGATAGCGAATCATACTCTAGTCTAGTGTGCGTGTGTGTGTGTGTGTGTGCGCGCTTTTCCTACAGATCCAATAGATCTCGTCGCCCATCTTATAACGACGTATTTTCTCTTATCTATCACTGTTTTTGTCGTCATAGATGCATTGAATTACAAGATCAGGCCTTCCGATCACTTGCAATGAACAAATTAAGGTGGTATTAGGATGCGATAATGCTCGAATTGAAATGGGTTTTTGATTTGTAGCAGTGAATCAGAGGAAAACTGCTCAATTTTGAGATTATCACTAGGATAAGTTCTTGATTTTTTATTGAAGTTGAATTGGGTATGAAATTAAAGCAGGCCCTAGTTAATGATTTACAAGAATTCATTGAAACGCAAGCTGAATTGAAGAGGGTGGGCTGAAGGTAGACTCTTTCGCCTTTTTCTGCAAAGGAGGTATGCTTTTAGGTTTCATTTTTATTTTCCCTGAATTCGTTAGTCCCCTACCTTTCTTGCTATTTAGGGCAATTTTTCCTTTTATACTTTGTTTTGATTTTTTTAGTACCCAAATTAACAAATGTGCCTGCAGCTCTTCATCACTTTTATTCTGGTTAATTGTTGTTATACTTCATATGATTCAGCTCTTGTTCTTGTTGTTCTTCAAAACCTAATCATTCGTTGTAAAATCTATCAGTTCATGAGTTTAAAACTGGGAATCTTGCTGTGCATTATTGTCAATTTTATCACATATATATATGCTCTTAGAATTATGTGGTTGATGATGCTGATTCTGGTTTTGAGCTATAAAACCTGCAGAAAATGGATCTTTAAAAGATTTACCCCTTTGGTCCATCTCAAGTGTTAGAGCAAAGAGAACATCAATATGCATATTATGTGTTTGATATAATGTAACGTACCCATTCATAATTACTCTCCATATGTAGAAAAATGGCAACTCCTGTTGAACCACCAAATGGGATTAGATCAGAAGGGAAACATTACTTTTCAATGTGGAAGGCACTGTTTGAAATCGACACAAAATATGTTCCCATCAAGCCCATTGGTCGAGGTGCTTATGGCATCGTTTGCTCCTCTGTTAACCGAGAAACTAATGAGAAAGTAGCAATAAAGAAGATACACAACGCCTTTGACAACCGTATTGACGCCTTAAGGACCTTGCGTGAACTTAAGCTTCTTCGCTATCTTCGGCACGAAAATGTGATTCGTTTGATTGATGTGATGGTGCCCATCCACCGCAGAAGTTTTAAGGACGTTTATCTGGTCTATGAGCTTATGGATACAGATTTGCATCAGATTATTAAGTCATCTCAGGCGCTTAGTAACGACCATTGCCAGTATTTCCTCTTTCAGGTATGTGGATCGAATCTTGTGACAACAGATTAATTGATATATTAAATATTTGCATTCTTATTCATTATTACAAAGATCATTGTCATATTAGTCTTTTTATATGACATTATTCGACAAAGTGTCTTATAAATACACGTGTCTTATGAAAAGTGTGTTCAAGAAGTGTCCTATAAAAAAGCTAATACAATACTAGGATGCCCAAATACGTCCTAGCATCTTATTATAACACATTTATATAGTAGGCACACTTGTTAACGTAAGTCCTTTTAAGCAGTCAATTAGGACATTTAGACATATTTGGCAACCTATAAAACCGATTTTTTTGTAGTGAATCCCACAATGAGGGAGATTCAATCTTGAAAGACACCTAAAAATAGTGGATAATCTCACAAATAGGGAGATGAAATCTTGAAAGAAAGTTAATATAGTGGTATAATCTCACAATGAGAAAGATACAATCTTGAAAGAAATCTAAATTTCGTGGTTATGTTGTTGCGTGATCCTTTAAACTATTTGTCTTTCATTCATAGCTACTGCGAGGCCTGAAGTATCTGCACTCTGTAAACATCCTCCACCGCGATTTGAAGCCCGGGAACCTACTCATCAACGCTAACTGTGACCTAAAAATATGCGATTTCGGCTTAGCACGCACCAACAATGGCAAGGACCAGTTCATGACTGAGTACGTGGTCACTCGCTGGTACCGGGCCCCAGAACTACTCCTCTGCTGTGATAACTACGATACCTCCATTGACGTATGGTCTGTCGGATGCATCTTTGCTGAACTTCTCGGCCGAAAACCCCTTTTTCCGGGCACAGAATGTCTCAACCAACTGAAACTGATCATCAACATCCTGGGCAGCCAAAGAGAAGACAATATCGAATTCATCGACAACCCAAAAGCAAGAAACTTCATAAAATCACTTCCTTATTCACCAGGAACTTCGTTTTCTCGGCTTTATCCTCATGCTCATCCACTAGCCATTGATCTGTTGCAAAAGATGCTGGTTTTTGATCCTTCAAAAAGGATCAGCGTGTTCGAAGCCCTTCAACATCCTTATATGTCACAACTATACGATCCAAATACGGATCCACCCGTTCAAGTTCCGGTGGATTTGGATATAGATGAGGATTGGGGGGAGGAGATGATAAGAGAGATGATGTGGAAGGAGATGATCCATTATCATCCTGAAGCTGTTATTGCTGCTGCTAATGCTGATACCGATACTGATGAAGGGGTAATGTTGTGAAACTTGTGTTGAGTTTAATAAGCATTAGATATGATGCATTGCTAGTTTGTGTTGTTGAATGAATGCATTATGATTATACTCCAAAACAATGTGTTTTTAGGAGGTTGTGCTCCTTCTGTTTTCTGTACATATCTCTGTGTGTTTTTTCACCCACCAGTAGTTCTTGTTGCAACTCTTGGAACTTTCTTCTTGTTGTACATTATGTTATGAGTATATTACAACTAAAACTGCTTGTTATCGGTTTATTTGCAATAAAACTACATATATGTGTTTGCGCTTGCGTTACGATGGTTTTTTCTTTTTCCTTTTTAGCACGTACAAAAAGAGGTCTGGATTTTGGACCGGAGCCGGTTACGTTTTAATTGGTTAAGGACGGATTAGGTAAGGATCGTTTGTAACGGGTCGTTCCTTTATTAATTAATATATATTTTTAAAATGCGAAAATTACAAATATAACAACCTGTTTTTGTATTTATTGTACAAAATGACCACTAAATCCATGAAACACTTGGATGTGCGAAAAGGCCCCATAGTTTCCTGTAAAACTAGTTTTGGTATTACTTTTGAAATAAGTATGATTTTAATTGCTTTAAAAAAAGGATAATTTATTAAAATAACCATTTTTTAAAGTTGACTACATTTTTTCTTCAAGTTTATCAAAATACCCATAGGTCTGCAAACCCTGTGTCAGCAATTGTGGATCCGGCTAAAAGACAAAAGAAATTACACTTCCGACCTTGTCTGCAAAAGAAAAATTACATTTTTCACCCAGGTCTATAAAAAAATTTACATTTCCCATATAGGTCCCCAAAAAAATTTATATTTGTCACCTAGGCTCATAAAATAAAAGTTAAAATTACGGACCTAGGTATATTTTGGTAAACCTTGTGAAAAAACGACTAAGAGTTGAAACCAAGCGATAAAAGTGGTTATTTTAATTAATTTTCCTGATATTACAAACAAAATTTTCTTTCTTTTTTTGAATAGCAAGAGGATTGAATTATAAACACAAATTTCAAAATCAATAAATAAGAAAACGATAACATATGCGGTGACTCCGGGCTACCTGCAAAGCAGGTGGTCGTCCTGAGATCAGTCAGCTCGGATTGAATATCCAGGTTAATAAAAAAAACCAAGAACATAGATAATTATAATAAATTGAATAATTTATATACATCTAAAGTGTTATTTAATATCATTGTGGAATTCTTGAATTTCGACGATTAATACCTGAAATATTGCATTTTAAAGAAGTATAATAGATTAAAAAGTTAAATGCAATTTTTGTCCCTATAGTTTATAAAATTTAACGAGTAACGCCCTTCAAAAGAATTTTAGCGAGCAACGTCCCTCTACTTTCATTTTTATTACAAATAGGGTCCCTACATTTTAACACCGTCAAATGAAATGCTTTTTAAAAAGGGTAAATGCGTACCAGGAGTACCAAATCTATACTGTATACTATTATAGTATTATAGTCAAAATTGTAATTTGTAAAAAAACAAATCAAGTTTGTACAATATATTTTTATCGATAAAATAGAACAGTAATATCATAAAAATCGCGACAGATTCATAGTTTTTTTTAGCAATAACACAAAATAATTATTATAATATAAGATAAAAATAAAATTAATTATAGTTATTTAGAACTTTATATGTCTAATTATGAGTATATAAAGAAAATGCATGATTGTCCATGCTATTTTATTGTAAACAAATATAGTAGAAAATAAAACTTGTATTTCTCAATTAATTAGCTTATAAAACAATTATGTCTATTAAAATATAAAATAATTTCTAATGCCACATAATATGAATAGTTTTATATATAAGCATGTTTTATATTAATCTTTTAAGGAATTTTACTCCGTTTTATTTAAATTCAAAGAGCGACCAAATATGTTATAGACTAAAATTCTTAATAGTTAGAATCACTTTAGAAGGAGGTGAAGGGTGAAGGGTGACGGGTGAATGCATAAAAATACCTCTTCTTAAAGACACTTTATTTGACGAATAAATTATGGATTTGGTCCCTATAATTTACACTTTTTATCCACATTGGATCCAGTATCAAAATAAATATAGATTTGATACTCCTAGTACGCATGATCGCACTCATTGAATCCCTCCCTCTAACTCTGTTAAAAAAATCTAGTTAAATTAATGTGTGTTTTTTCAGGTGATTTTGTTATTATTTTATTAAAAATTAAATAATTATATTTTAATAATTGTATTATATATACGAACGCAAACATAACATTGAACCCACCCTTTGTTTCTTCCCCACATCGACCTCCTCCATACCAACGATCGGCGGTCACCATCTCTGGCGTTGGTTTCTTCACCAGCATCAGATCCGACGACCTCTTTCTACCATAGTTATCTCCTTTTTTTCTACACCATCTATTCCCTTTGTTTCTTGGTCTGTTTCTTCTTCCCAAAACGACCATCACAGCATAGGGACTTCATCTTCTTCCCAAAACCCCTCGTTTTCACTAGTGAACCTTGCCCCATCCCCTTGTTTCTTATTCCCAAGACATCGGTAAAAGATAGGGACTTCATATGGGTCACCAGAAAATAGAGATCGAGATCAGTATAGTGGTGGTGATGAAGTAACCAGATGGTTCTAAGTCACCGGAAGATGGTGGCCTGAGAAAGGGATATCACAGTTGGAGAACCTCAACCCTTCCCCCTGTTTCTTCTTCCCAAGACCATCGTTGCAACATGGAGATTTTGTCTGTTTTGGTTTGGGTCACCAGAAAATGGAGATCGAGATCAGCATCGTGGTGGTGACAGGGGAACGGGATGGGTTTAGGTCACTAGAAATTGGGAGATGGGGTTCACTTAACTTTGTAAAATATATATGGATGGAATGAGGCAGGAAATGGTAAAGGGAGTTGGGGAGGCTGAGGATGGGGACCGGCACAAGAAATGGTGTTCGAAGACGTGTGTATTGTATCATATGTATTATATAATATAACAATATGTAATATATATTTGTTTAATTATTTATTTTTTAATTACGATAAAGGGAAAAGTAAGGTGAAAAAGACTAAATTACAACTGGATTTAATTAGATTAATAGAAAAAGTTATTTTGTTAGAGGAAGGAACTCAATGAGTGCGAAAATGCGTACATGGGTACAAAATGTGTATTTATTTTGATTTTGAGACCACCTTGGATAAAAAGTGTAAACCACAGGGACCTAATTCATAATTTCCTCTTATTTGAGGGTGTTAAATGCGAGGACCCTATCCATAATAAAAATAAAAGTAGAGGGACATTGCTCGTTAAAAATTCTTGAAGACTGATGAAGTTCAGGCCCATCTCACCAGGCATCGTGAAGACTGAAGTACAAACCAATACTAAAGTTGTCGATGCACTCTCCAGCAAATCTGATGAAGTTCAGGCCCATCTCACCAGGCATGGTGAGCTCCTTCAACAGATCTTCCAACTCCTTCAGCAACGAGTACCCATCCCTGAACCTGCCTTTAGAGATGCTGACCGTCAAAAGCTGGACCGGGTTGCTGCCTTCAACCTTCTTCAAGTTGAAGTTATCTCCTCCATTGAGCAAAATCTAGAAGACCTCTCCTCTCGCCTTTCTCTCTCCTAGGATCCAATGTTGATGATGTCAAAGAGGGGGAGAAAGCTAATGAGGACCAAGGGAAGAATAATGAGGAGACTGCTAAAGATGCTCTAAATGAAGAAGATGCTCATACTGAGGATGCCAAGGAATCTATCCCTGACTCCATCAATGATGATGATGAAGATGATGTCGTAGTTACTACTGCTGCTGACCATGAAGACCTTCATCCCTCCACCTCTACATTGCCAAATGCTGGTGATGAGGATGATGAAGATGATGAGGATTATGAACTTCTTCCAGATGTAGGCACTAATCTTGGTAGTGATGGTGACGATGATGATGATTTCTGCATCCAAGTTATTCCAAGACAACCAACTAAAAGAATCTCCATCCAGGAACCTTATTCCTAGGGGGAGAAATCATTAGATAACCAGTACCCCACTGACAAAGGAAAAGAAGTGGCTGAAGACAATCTTGCCATCATTCTAAGGGTTGTCAGCCAATTTGAGGATGCAGACTCCTCCAGGTTTATATCTCTTTCCCTTGAAGCTGAATCCCTTATCCCTCTACTACTCTCTGCAACAACAAAACCTCCTGGTATCTCAACCGATCTCCTATCTTTTGATACCATAGAGGTCGAAGAAGATGAAGATGAAGCCAACACTCTAATACCCAGGACGTCATCTAGACAACTTGAGTATTCAGAAGTTGTTGAAGACCAGAGGATGGCTCAGCTAGTAAGTCAGCTCGACCAAACCAGAATAAAAATTCCTCTTCGTACCTCTGGTTGTGGTGAGTTTGATTTCCTTTCAGAAGCTGAATGTGAAGAATCCCTCCATGCTGAAGAAGAGCTGAAGAAACATTAGCAACAAATCAAAGACAACTTAGAGTTAGCCAAGGCTCTAGCTGATCAGACACTAGCTGAAAAGAAATTCAAGATGAAAGATCTGCTCAGTGCTTAAGTGAAACTATTAGCAGAAGCTGAGTGTGAACGTGAACGAGTGCTAAAACTAAAGGATCATGACTTTCCCGGTGCAGAGAAAGGATCGAGACAAGGATGAGCCTACACAAAATCACAAACGCACTATCAGTAGTCGTGTGAAAGATGGTGCTAAGCTAGTCTCAATGGTCATATTTCGAGAAGACAAAAATGTTGTCACTGAGTATCATTTCTTCCTCAGTCATTATGGCTTCTACGATTGGCTAGAGATTTGGCATGCTATCCGGAAATCCAAATCCAAGTACAAGCTTATATTGAAGAAACTTTGAATGAATTATTCAACAAGGTTTCGAAGATCATCGAGGTTCCTCCTGTGGCAAAGAAGCCGCCCTCTAAAAAAAATAACCTTTCTGAACCTGAAATGGACCATCCCACAAGAATGAGCACAAGACAAAATTATCAGTGGATGAACTTTTCAAGGATTGAGAGAAACCAGATATCTCAATGATGAACTTTGTCACTGCCTGAGAAGGGTCCTTATATACTCAACACAGTACATGTGAAACCTGAATATGGACATGAAAGTATTTGAGTTCCATCTCTGTCCTATAGATCACTTAGAATATCTAAGAAATTGGCTAAATGATGATCTATTTGGATAGATGATGGAGCACAAGATTCGAAAGGAAATGCTTAGACGCAAGAAGCTAGGAG